CACTTCAGAATCCATGACGTTTCAGCACATGCTATGTTTTTATAGTATTTAAGTGTTTAAATTCAAAGTTAGCATTAAATAAGAAAGGAGAATGTAAATTTAAAGTAAAGTGAATTAGGTGAACATTTTTAGGAAATTTAACTAAACAATTCTTTTTGTAATATGAGTCCAGTTTCGTGCAGTGCTTTAGAACTGATCTTTTTATATAATACAAAATTAAAAGTTACATCCGATGTTAGGAAGTATGTCAGTTTATTAAAATAAAGGTTATTATATTTAAGGAAAAAGATTATTAAATAAAGTGATTATATATTGGTGTGCTGCATTTTGTGAAACTGGATAATATTAAATCATTTAGTTTCTAACTGAAGTTAATGATACCAGGACAAAGGCGACAGGAATTCCATCCTACCACTTTTCTGTTTCAGATAGTTTTCTGCCATATTATTTTTCCATTGTTGGAAAGATAAGGCAAAAGTACTTTCTCTGTTATAAGGTTATAGGTTAGGTTAGGTTATTTAATTACGACAAAGTCTTGAGGGCTATCTGCCTAAGGGGAGGGAGGCCTTCGTGGAGGACTTTCTAAGGGAAACTGGCTCGTATACCTTTACCATGGGGAAAACACAAAACGCCCAGCAGCCACCCGTTTCGGAATTCGAACCTCGGACAGAACACCGTGTTTTAATACGTGTACCGCCTCGGGCCGCGGTGACCTTCTCTGTTATAAAACTCTTGACTTTATATCACTCATACGCTGAAAATCAGTAACAGATAAAGCCTTCCGACATTGGTTAACATACATACTCTTATACATGACTACTACTCGCAGAAAGAGCAGTTATAGTTCATATAAGTACATTAAGTTACACATGGGGAAAAACCACGAAAACGCCACAGCCCCGTCGCGGATTCGAACCTCGGACCGAACTAACCAGTGTTCGCGACCTTTCCCTGGTCGCCGCTGGTGCTTCTCTTTAAAACTCTTGCTTTATTCACCATACAGCTGAAAATGCATGTAAACAGAATAAAAGCCTTTCGACATTCGGTGTAAACATACATAACTTCATAATACATGACACACTACTCACAAGAAAGTAAGTAGTTAATAGTTAAATATAATGCACATTAAGTTGCATAGTATTCAAGCGATGGCAAGGGTATTACAATTTGGTGACAAGAATTTGTATCGTCAGGGCTGCTGTTGATGAAGGTTTTGCAATTAAATAATATAAATATTTTATATATTGAGGGAGAAAATACCTTACGTATGTTATTACGGAGTTAAGTAACTGAAGCATAACTATATAACATGTTGGTGCTATTTCAATTTTGCTTTGTTTGCGTTATTACCACAGGAGCTTAAGTTTATATATAACTTTAAAAACATAGAAAATACATCTTCCCGCATGTTTGTAAAATATGTGTTTCTTTAGTCATGACTTTTAGTATTGCAAAGTTGTATAGATTTATCATATTTTATTTAATATACAATATTCCAGATACTTTGTTACATTACTAAAAAAATCTGATGTGTACACCACATGACTTCCTTGGTACGGATTAAATTATAGCATTTTTTCTTGCATTTCTTAACATAGTGATGAAGTAAATCTACCGCCGACAGCGCATAAACCACAATAGATAAATGCTTTCTTTAAAATTCCCTAGTATTGTTTACCGTACGACACTCTGCTTAGTCACTTAACGTATTAATATTATATGACAGTTAATTTATATAATAATTATTAACGGAAATAAGTTACTGTTATATAATCATAATTATATAACATTAACTATAAATTTCGTTCATATTAAGTCTAATGCAAAATTTATCATTTAAAGAATGAATTATTAATCGTTGCCACTGTTTATTCAATACTATAATAAAGCTAGATGATGATAAAAGAAATTAAGCAAACAAAAAAAAAAGAAACAGTTTTTCACAGACGTTGAGTATCTATTTTAATAATCAGTTTCACTTCGCGAAGGCAAAATGCATAAAAACTGAAAATATCTATTGAAAAATACGATAAATTTAAAACAGTATTTCCCGAAAAATCCAGAAAGAATAAGCATGATTTGATTGGCAATAATAAATGATGCGTTATCTTTGTGTGCGAGCTAAGTTCTTAGATTGCAACAAACCCTAGTCTGTTTTCAAATGTAAAATCATGGTCGCCATATAAAAAATGTATAGCGGCACTTAGACAACTTTAAAATGTTGATATTCCAAAATATTCCATACGGATTTACAAAGGCATAAAACTTAACGGAAAAAACACATAATACAATCATTTTTAAAGCAAAAAGGAAATTTACAAACATATAAAGTAAAGATCTGAGATCACGAGCGGACAGTAGATATATATATAAATGTATTATACGTTTGGTGCGACGATTGCACCAAATACGAGGTGCACATCACAGTTACGCGTCTATACAAAATTCAACGTCTGAGGCTACTCGTTTTGAGTTAGGTGATACGTACGTCGTCGTACGCACGTCCGTACTACGTCTTACAGTCGCCACAAAAATTTCTCAGAAATCTTTTTAAGCGTTTATAATTTTTTTGAGGAAAAGAGTTTTTATTCTGTCCTTAGTCCAGATATCACGCAAAACATCGTTAAATGCATTCGATAGCGTCAAAAATGGATATTTTGTGAAATATGCTGCCTGAAACTTTTCGGGATTACAATACTTCCTTTTTACTTCGTTCAAGGAAGTAAAAAGAGACGTTTGACGTTTCTATTATTAGTTGCAATCTTTCAAGCTTTTTGCTAATAAATAGAAAAGCATAGTGAGAGTTTTTAGGATAAGTAAGATTTATTTTGTTCTATTAAATAACAATCAAATGTATCATTTTTATGCTTGGTTTTAGGTTATATTTTATGTTAGGAAAAGTAATATGCTTTTATTTTTAGCTTTTTCACGTATACAGAATTAATGCTTGAGTAGAGTCGAAAAAAATTCGTTCTGGAATTGGGATAAATTCAGAACGGGAAAACTGCTTAAATGCTGCTTCATATTTCATGACAAGAATAAATAGCAATAAACCGTTAGTTTGTAAGGCAAATCACTTTCATTGCTTTCTCAATAAATTAATACTATAAACATATTCGAATGCTTTTAAGAAGATTCATAAAATTATTAATTATATTTTCCTTTAAATGATTGCTAAAAGTGGCATTTACGTATAATATAATAGAGTTTTCAATTTTGAATAAACTTCGTTGTTGTTGTTTTGTCTATGAATTTCATGGAAGTACGGTTCCCAGAGCCTCAAGAAAGTTAAACATTTATTTCCACATCAGTTTCGAGGGAAACATACCGGGGGTCCGAGGGTATTCCACCCCTCTCCCCTACAATCAGTCCGCACGAAAAGACTTTCGGTTCGCCATATATTTAGAGTGCCCCATGCTGTAAAGACATAGAGTTTAAACATGACGTCTCCGTGATATAGACCCAGGTCCTTCGGTAGTCTCCTAAAAACTATACCGTCTGGGGTAATAAATTTATTTTGAAAATTAATGCATAATGTTCACAATAATTAGCTAGGAATTAAATATTGTTTTCTACTAGAACAGAATACTCTGCATGGTTTAGCTATTTTTAATCTGAAGTAGTCTGAAATGAAAATAAAATTAAAATTAATCTATATTAAATCAATCTGTAAGTTTCACTTCCATACTTTACCATTCTTGGTGTTCTGATCATAAATTCAAAATTTATTTTAAATCTCTTCATTTAAAGGAGAAATCTAAGTACGTAACTGGTAACAGAAAAGCAAAGATTTTAATTTAATTTTTGACTTAAAATCAACATTATATAGGCGTAGATTTTGAATAAAACTCTATGGATTTCTAGGGAGATCAGACACAAGTCCTCATCTTTAGGAGGAGGAAAACGGGCTTGTGTGTAATCGCCCTAGAAATCAACAAATTTTTATTTAAAATTCACGGCGAACAAAGATGTGTTTGTGCCTTAATTTAAATTCTACATTGGCATTTTTCTCTTTCCATTAAACCATTTTAATATTAGGTCCTTGAAAGTTTTTCAGGTTTATGAATATATTTATTTAATTAAAATCAAGCAAACCATCTAAAATCTTTGAGACGCATCTTTATCAAGATACTGCTCTAATTCACAGCTCTCAAATTCATCTGGTCTTCTAGAGCTTTGACGATCTTTCTAAATGACTGCAAGATTAAAATCGTTTTTAAGAATTCAAACCTTTCAACCATGGCACTTAAACACTGGTATAAGCAATACTCTCAGCATAAGTTTCACAGTTTTTTTTTTCTGCAACAGTTCCTTGGGTAGGATCAAATCAAGATATCACATATCTGAATAGATACGCTTTATTGCGTTCATTTTGGGTTATGATAAAAATTGCACTAAATTTTCATTCAAGATGACGTAGACAAATTTTAAAGTAACTGATAATTTGCTGTAACTGCAATTAAGTGAACTTTTAGTTTCTTTAAAATTTGAAGTTGCAAAACTTTAATTTGAAGACAGATGAAACTTTTTTAGTCAGTACTACCTGTAGAAAAATTGAGGAGTTTAAGCCAAAGAATGCAACAGTATTACTGACATTAAGCAATATCAAGCAAAGCAGCAAGTAATAATGAACGACCTGAAATTAAGAAAATTAAGGCGCGCGTTTACAAATTTTTTGTTTGAATCTAATAATCGCATTCATAGGCATCAGTTATACTTTATATTTATCCTTACGTGTTTGGTCTTTACTTAAAAGAATTTAAATTGTTATTAAAAATAAAAAAAAGTACCTTCTATTGATAATTTTTTATAAACATTTAGAAATATATATCTATATGCATTGTGTTCACAGTTCCTTTTATAAAACTGAATTCTTACCATATAGATAGGAACAAGGTCTAAGAAATCCTGAACTTGTTTGTCATCAGATGTTCTTTCTATAAGTCTATCACCTTGTCCAGCAAGGACGACATGTTCTAACCGCAGGAGATCTCCTTCTCTTATCCAGTGCTCAATTAATTCATCTAGATGGTCTTCTGTAAATAAAATATGCGACAGACTCAGTTAATATTTTATGCAATACTATATCCTTTTAAATTGAATGCAACCTAGAACATGGAAGATTAAAAAACGAGGCCAAAACTATTCTCTCATTGAACAGGATTGGATTTTTTTAATAATATTTGCTGATTTTGATTCGATGAATGTCTTTATGTAGCATCCTTAAATTACAAATATGAATGGAGAAAAAAAGAATGCAGATTCGAATAAACTTACTGTGAGAAGCGTTTTAAGTTTGATAAAGAATGCAATCACCAGTGTCTTTCTCAGATGAATTTAACGAAGGAAAATTAGCATGCAACAATATCTATTTACGTAATACATAATCAAATAGAAATTAATTAGCTCTAGCATGCAAATAAGAATTATACTTAGAGATTTAAAAAATATCATGTTGTTTTGGAAAAATTCAAACATATATATATATATGTAATAATTTCAAGAGCAATAAATTTCTTAGGCTATGAAATTCAAGCAGGTAAATACCAGCTCAGTAATGCAAATATAGAGGTTATTAAAAAATTGCAACCCCCTAAAAATGTCAAAAAGTTGCAAAGATTTTTAGGAAGTATTAATGTATATCATAAATTTATTCAAAGTTATGCTAAAATTAGAGCTCCTTTAACTAACTTACTTAATAAAGATACCCCCTATAAATGGACAAATGAATGTCAAATAGCTTTTCAAAAATTAAAAGATGCATTAATTTCTAAACCTATTTTAACTTTGTTTAATCTTAAATAACCTTGTCATGTAATTTGTTGATGCCTCTAAAGAAGCTCGCCTCTCCTCCTGTGCTATACTCCGCGCTGCTCTGACCATCCTTCTTTTCTTTGTTAGAATGTTATGACGCAGAAGTCAAATTAAATCGGCTTAGAACTCATTATTGAATATAATTTGGAGAACTCATAGGAAAAGGCAATTGATCTGCTATTTGAAGAAATAAATATATGCAATAAGTGAAATCCCCTTGTGTCTTTGGATATCATTTAATTAAAAGTGAAACTCCTCTGGATCTTTTGATATCGCCTACACTCTGAACTGTTTAGCACTAAATGATAGATCATACAACATTATATATATATTATAGAAGACCCGCTTAACGCTGTTGCGTTACGCGGTTTCGTTTACGCTATTTTATTTCAAACGGATTCTCCGAAATTGTGGCAGCGATAGTTTCCAAAAAACATACCGAAACAGTTTATTGTTTTCTGCGTTGGGAGCATTTATCTGAAAACATTTGTTGAATTATGGTAAGGTAAATTTGTATAATACGAAACGATTATACAGTGACAAATATTATGATCTTAGTTTTTCATGGTGATAATAAAAAACAGAAAGAAAGCAACAGAAAAGCATTTCACTGGAACTCAATGCAGTGATTAGAGATTCGATTCTGGTGAACGTCAATCTCAAATTAGTGGCATGCTTTGGCAACGTCACATAAGGAAATTCTAAGAATAAAGAAAAAATACTGTCATCGGCACTGCAACTACGTGAAGTCTGCAACTAGAATTATCCGTTCTAGAAAAAATAGAGAGAAAGGAACAACGACTGTCTATGGATTGGACGCCCGATTGAACGAAATATGCCATTAACCAATCTACATTATGCCTTCTTGAAGAAGGAAGAAATGGAAACCAGGAATAGTGAGAATGATCGCTGACTGAGAATTTATTTGTTTTTAAAAGTATAGGAGTGTATATTTTTTATTTTGTAAGAAATAAATGTTTGATTTCATTTTATTAAAAAACATTATAATTTAATGCATAACCATTTTTTATCGTCTGACCCCTAACCCCATTATTCATGTTAAGATAGCATCGCTTAGCGCTGTTTCGCATACGCTCTACTCATGGAAGTATCCCCCGCGTTAAGCGGGGTCTTACTGTATATATATATATAATGAATATTTAGTCTGCCTCGGATGCTAGTTTTTCTTTCATTAGGGATCAAAAGTTTAGCATTCTACGCCATCAACTTATTCTCTGACTTTATAGCTAAGTCTGCTTCATGACATATATATATATATATAACTGGCATCGGAGGCAGACTAAATATTCATTTTTATTTCGGAAAAAATCTGCCACAAATAAACTAGAACACTACTCTCGCCTTTTCAAGAACGTTTTAAATTTTGCATAGCTTTGCAGTAAAGGGAGAAGCAGCAGTTTATCTAAGCCAAAGTACAGAAAGCAAGTGTATTGTGTTCCGGATGAACTCTTAACTCAGAATGAGTTGGTTTCGGTTTTCAGTGCATTTAATTGGATAATAAATCAAGCTGTAAAATTATTATTGGCTGTTTGAGTTTTAATTTCTTTTATGTAACCAGCGTTGTGTAAGATTCTTATGACATGGATTAGTCTCAAAATGGGGCATTGTAGGAAAAGGTATTAAATTTTTTAGAATAGAGAGGGGTAAATACCCAAATTAAAATTAAGGCATTATTTGGCTATTGCTAATTTAAATTATAAATTACATTACATATTTTACAGTTCTTACACATTGCTCCCCTTTAAGGAGTAAAAGGCTTGGTGACAAGGAAGCTTTTCTAGCGGAAAAGCGTTAAACCACTTGCAAATGAAGAGAAATGTAAATCATAAAATTTGACCAACATAACTAATTAAAAAACTTAAAGCATGATTTTTAATGTAAGATATTTTTTAAAAAATAAATGTTATTTTTAATGTCCTATTATATTTTTCAATATTTAAGCTCAAAAGTCTTCTTATTTTATTATTATTATTCATAATTCTTAATGTAAAATTTTTGTGCTCACACAGTATCACAAATGAAAACTTGTACATGACCATTACTTGTTCTAATTAACTGTAACACATGTAAAATTTTATGACACTAATTTTCATATTAATACATTACATTTTAATATTAAATACAGTAGTAGTATTGCAGAAATTATAGTTTCACTGCTATTGTCTTTCATTTGCAGTTCCTTATTTTACCAAACCAGAAGGCCCCGCAGTACTTGTAGATAGAAATTTTCATTAATAGGACTTATCCACTTGAGCTTACTAATCTGTTTGTTCTGCACTAGTGACCAAGAGATACTGAGACACTTACTTGAAAAGGCTTCCGTTCGTTGCGTAAGGTAATTGGCCTCTGTAAACTGCGCTAATACATTCCATAATAAAAAAATAATATAGTAAAATAATGTAGTATATAAAAAAATACTCTCAGTCGTAAAATAAGAGCCTTCAACATTATCATATATGAGGAGCGCAAAAGTAACAATTGTGCAGAGGTGATAACGGGCCTCCGTTTCTGAATCACTATTCCCTCGGCATACTCTATTTTTAATATATAATTGTCCATAAATATTAACATTCATTTTTCAAAATTCCATATAACTTATCTTTTTTAGTTTTAATTACATTACTCATAATCAATTTTATTATAATTACTCAATTCTGAAATTACAGAATTTTTTTTATTTATTATATTAATATTCACAATCAAAATGTTAAATATTTTCGATATTATACTCAAAAACAATATTTTACATCCATTTCTCTGTACTAATTTGCTAAATTGTTTCACTTAGTTTTTTATTCACTTCATTCACTCAGTAGCTTTAAAATTCTTAACATTAATTCAAACATTTTTAAAATAATTCAAAAATGTAGTATTAATGACATTACAATTTAATATTCTTCCTTGAAAAAAATATTAAAATTTTTTACTTAATTAATTCAGAAATAGTTACTTAAACTTATATTTCTAACAATATAAATTTTTAATCTTTCCTTTTCCATTAAATGAAAATATCAGAATACTTGTGTTTTCCTTCTTCGAATACTATGTTTTATTTTTTCTCAAAACAATAAAATCAAATCGCAGAAATTTTAACTAAAACATTTCATGCAAAATTTAAAAGCCACTGCACCAATATCAGTTTTGTTTCACTGAAAAAGTAGTAATTTAATACACTTTGACCGAAAGAAAATTGTTATGCATAAAACATTTATTTGGCTAATATATTAAAGCGCAGGAATCAGAAGCGGCTGATAAGCATTTCCTGCAGTTCGACACGTGTGGAGTAAATGACACTAAGATTGATTACCTTTGTTAATTTTTTTGGTACCAAAACGGAAGCATCTCATACATGGTATTTGAAAACACCTCTTATAAATCGGGCTAATGAATGGAATCTTGAATTATTTTGTAGTCCATATGAAAATACTCCTGTTAAGTTTGAAGCGCTGGTTGACTGCAAAGCGATAATTAAATCACAAAGGATCATACAGTAATTTGTTTCTCTTAGACACTGATCAGAACACGAGCGAGCGACTATGAACCCAGAAATTAAAAATAGGCATGGCCAAAACTTGCATTAAACATTTCCGTGAAACGGGGCGTTTCCCGGAGGTTATCCACTGTCGATTCATTGTAATTGATTTACATTTTTCGACGCGACTTTCGGTCACCTATCAATGAGAACGCTTTTCCTCATATATCCAGACCTTGTGTCTTCTTATAGAAGCACAAGATCTTCTTTCCTAATGGGCACGTATTTGCGGATAATTTGTGGATACTGCGTACTTGATGATAACTGCGTAATTCCAGAAGATATACTTTAGATAATCTCTTATAAAATGTATCCAATAAATCTTGCTGCATCCTAAAATTTCTTGTAAATTTCGCTTTCTAGGATTCAGATTTCGAAGGCATTTTTGCCAGATTCTGATCAGTTAGAATATGATTTGTAGTCAAGGCTTCTTCGGAATCATCATTTCCTAAGTCATGCAAAATTAAAAATGGTCTGCTGCTCAAGGCGGCTTTCACCCTTCCTTACTAATGCAGCAGAGAATGCTTCCAGCAAAAATTGGCCAAGCGGTTTTCTAAGCCATGGTTTGGTTAATCCCATTAAACGCTCCCAGCAACCTTACCATCAAGCCTCTCGTGGCAAAATAAATTTTCAATCAATGCCGTTTGTAGCATAAAACTTTTGGACTGT